TTGTGCAGCATCACGGCATGGTCCATTGCGTCGGGCCACTGGTGGTTGGGTAGCCGCATGCCACGTAGTAGTTTGCGCATGGTGTTTTGGAGGGTCCTGTTCATTCTTTCTGCCACGCCTTGCTGTTGATGGGCGTAGGGAAGGGAGATGAGCCTCTTGATGCCTCGTTCTGCCAGGTACTGCTTGAATCGCTGTGACTGATATTCCCCTCCTCCGTCTGTTTGGAGACTTTTCAGTTTCACTCCTGACTCTCGTTCTGCCGCTGGGAGCCAGGCGACGAAGGCTTCGAAGGCCATGTCGCGGCTTGGAAGGTTGAGGTGCCAGACGTATCGTGTGGCGGCGTCGATGAACGTGATGACGTAGTTGTATGTTCCCTGTCCGGGTACACGGTTGTATAGGATGTCGCTGTACACCTTCTCCAGTGGTGCGTACGCTGGTGCGCTCGGGTTGTGGTGAGAGACGAACGGCTGATGTGGTAAGTCAGCTTCGGGGCAGGTGAAGCATGTTCCGCGGGCTCGTCGGAGTTCACTTCTGTCAGTCAGGAGCAGTGAGTCTTTGTCGAGTACGCCTGCTCTGATCGTGTTGTTTAACACAGTGTTACTAGGATGTCCCATTCTTACGTGCCAGATGTCTTCAGTGGCGCGATGTCCGGGTGATCGTCTGTACATGTCGGAGTTGGAGTAGAAGCCGGCGGTAAGGTTGGCGCTTCGGTGTACTTCCCGTGGAGTCGGAGTTAACTGCTGCGCGGGTGTTGGTGGTGAATCGTCGACAAGGATCGGTGGTGTTGAAGGGCCAGCGATTGGTGTCGGTGTTCCTGCTGCTGCTGTCGTTGTCTCTGCTGCTGCTGATGTTGTCTCTGCTGCTGCTGATGTTGTCTCTGCTGCTGCCGATGTTGTCTCTGCTGCTGCCGATTGTTGAATCGTTGCTAACGCCCTTGTTCGTTCTGCTTCAGGTATCATGTGTGAATGCCAAAAGCCGTCGGGGCTGAAGTCTGGGTCAAGATCCGGTGGGTGTGTCCAGGAAGTGAAGGTCACGATTCCGTCGCTGTCGGCGGTGCCTAAGTCTGGAACGAAGTCGAGGACGAAGACGTTGTTCTTCAACACTGCTTTCCCGATGTAGAGACCTCCTCTCCCGTGGTACAGCTTGAACTCCTGAGTGGTGCTATCTGCTTCGAGGTGGATGCCTTTCGCCATCAGTTGACTGACACTCAGTAAGTTGTAGCCGAGTCCCTCTGCGATCAAAACTTTTGACATTTGCAGTATAACGTTCGTTTCCTGCGATTGAAGTTGAACTACTCCTTGTCGTCGTGTGCGCAGGTTTTGGTTGTTGGCGACGGTGATGACGACTTCTCGTTGAAGTTGATGTTCCCGTTGGACGAAACGGCTTGAGGAACACATGTGATGTCCGCAGCAGCTGTCCAAGAACCAAGTGTCTTTCCCGGACGGTTCGCTTTGCGCGATGGCAGCGTACGTCGGGTTCGGTTGAAGTGTCTCGCGACGTGGAGTACTTTCGTCGAGTTGTTCTTCCGGTGAGTAGTGTGGTGGTGATTCGGTGATGCGGGAGTCAGTTAACTTGGCCATGCAACTGATGATGTTCCTTGATCCTTGTGCAGGTTGTGTCGTCGATGTCGTTGAGTTTTGAACTTGAGTGGTGGGGTGCGTCTGCGTTGAGGTGACTTGGCTGCTTGAGGGACGAAGTTGGCGTTGTGGCGGTGTTGACTGCTGTCGATTCGGGCAGTGTGTGCGAGGGTGACCTGATGTCTTGCAGATATGACAGAACGGAGGTACGGGTTTTGGTTGATGCCGGATGTTGTTGTTGTAGCGCCGTTGGGTGTGGAATGCAAATTCGGGTACTAGCGCTTTCTTCTTGTGTCGCTCCTCTTGCAGGTCCATGTCTTGCTGTTCAGCGTGAATTTCGGCGCAGAGTGCTGCTTCAAATATCCTTCCGTGGGCTCGGAGAATGGCTCGTGTGGAGCGCCATTGAGGACCGAGGCCGCCAATAATGAGTGTCACGAAGGCGTCTTCAGATATCGACCCTCCGCATCGAAGGAGTTTGTCGCGCAATTCGCGACAGCGGCTGATATACGCCATCCCCTTTTCGCCTGGTTTCATTTCGACCCTTCACTGTCAGTTGTGCCATTAACCGACTCTGGTTTACGCTGTCTGTTGCTTGATACAGGTTCTTCAGGTGGTTGTACGCGAGCTCGGCGGAGTTGCCGTATCCCCGGTAAGACCGAATGTTCTGCTGTTGGTTTGGGGTCAGATTCCTCAGCAGGATTTTGTATGCCATCATCGACTGATACGTGTACTGCTGCTTGTCGTATTGTGTCCCGTTTGTTGGATATTGTCAGAATGTGATGGTTGTCTAGCCTGCAGTGGGGTACTCTATAGCGAGTACAGCCCTTCTAGGGTTTGCTATATGTATCCCTATGCTTGTTAGTGAAAGCCCCTCTTGCTTGTTTCTTCTTTCTGCCTAGTATTTCGACATGCTATCAGAGCAGGTCGACCCTCCTGGGTCGATCCTGTGGGTGGTCCCACCCGTTAGCTTCCGCTGCTACTTTGTATGTCGCGCGCCCCGTGGTGCGCGACGGATTTTTCTTCCCGCCGTGCGCCCCGAGGCGCGCGGCGGTTTTCTGCCCCGTCGAAGCCCCCCCCCCCCCGTCGCCCGTTGCCCGTCGCGTCGCGGAGCCGCGCGCTGCCCCCCGCTGCCTCGTCGCGACGCTCTGGGGAGCCGCGCGCGACCCCCGCTACCCCGTCGCGACGCCCTGGGGAGCCGCGCGCGGCCCCCCGCTACCTCGTCGCGACGCCCTGGGGAGCCGCGCGCGACCCCGCTGCTTCGTCGCGACGCCCTCGGGAGCCGCGCGCGGCCCCCCGTTGCCCCGTCGCGGCGCCCTAGGGTGCCGCGCGCGGCCGCCCCGCTGCCCCGCCGAGGCGCCCTGGGGAGCCGCGCGCGGCCCCTCTCTGCCCCTGGCTGCTGCCCGTGCACCGCCCCCCCCCCGCTGCTGCCTGTGTTAGGGTTTGGGGGTGGCGGGTGTGGGGGTGGCGAGTATGGGGGTGACGGGTGTGTGCGCCATCCCCTGCTCCTCCTCCTCCTCCGTCTTTCACTGCTGCAGCTGCCGCTCAGGGGGGTGGATGTGTTGGAGCCGTCAGGAGGGGGGTGGCGTGTGAGCGTTGCTAGTGGTTCAACAGGGGGTGTGTGATAGGGGTGTGGGACAGTTGGGGGAGGTTGACAGGAGGTAGCCGGTGTGACGTCTGCCGTGCCAGTAGCCCGAGGGTTGAGTACTCCGGTAGCCCAGCGAGCCTGCTGCGCCAGTCGCCCGTGGGTCCGTTGCTCCTGCAGCTTAGTGCGGAGCCAGTTACTCCTGTAGTCCGGAGGTTGAGTGCTCCGGTAGCCACTGTGCGCGCCGTTCCTGTTGCCCGAGTGTCTGTCGCCGTGTAGTCCGGGGCTCTGCGCCTGGTAGCGACAGTGCTGCGCGCTTCTGTTGCGCGTGTGTCTGCAGCTTCAGCCGTTGCCTCCCATCTTCTTGCTCCCACAGTTTCTCCTCCTCCTCACTTGCCCTCTGTGATAGCCTCTAGCTTTGCTTGTATTTGTGAACCTACTGCTCTGCCTGCTTGTTGTGTTGATTGTACCCCACTTTGACTATGGGGGTGTGTCAGAATGTGATGGTTGTCTAGCCTGCAGTGGGGTACTCTATAGCGAGTACAGCCCTTCTAGGGTTTGCTATATGTATCCCTATGCTTGTTAGTGAAAGCCCCTATTGCCTGTTTCTTCTTTCTGCCTAGAATTTCGACAGATAAACCAGGCTTCCATCGAAGAATCCGAGTATTTGCGCGCCTTCCATTATCAACTCAAATTCGAACGACCAGGTGAAGAAGTCTTTTCCGTCGAATGGTCTTGATGTTTGTAGTTTTAAGACGTGTGCGAACTGGGACTGAGCTTGAAGCGCATCCAGTGGCTTCTCTTGTCCAGGTGAAGCTTGCTGATACGGCATGAAGCTGATTGAGCCGCGCTGAGGCTCGTATGGAGGAAAGGTAGGCTGTTGTTGCTGATTTCCGCGCGCGTAGGATGAACCGTCGAGGCTCATGGGCGTGACATCGTTGTTGTTGTTGCTATTGTTCGACTGCGCAGGTGCCGCTTGATGTTGTTCGTAGAAGGACATGAAGGAGAAGAATTTCTCCATCATGCTTGGGTCGAAGCCTGCAGCCTGGTTTGCAGGAGTTTCGATAGACCCTGCTGTTGGTCTTGTTGTCGTACCCTCCTCTGTCTGTAGGCCAGAGGCAGGAGGTGGAGTAGGGGTGGTGCCTGGGGAACCGTTGGAGGAGCTCCTCTCCTTCTGAGTAGCCATGGCTTCTGATGTTGTAGGTGCATTGGAAGTAGTTGAGTTTGTCCTGACTGCTCTTATACCATGTTGGGCTGAGAAAGCCCTTAGGATCTTTACAAGACTAAACTATGGGTGGACTTGTTGTAATTGCGGAAGCGTTTAATGAGGATAGTGAACCACCTTGCGCTGGTGTGTGAGGGCAAAGTAGATTGATTAAAACAAGGAGATACAAGGTTTTATAAGAGTACAAGGAATATGAAGAGATACAACTAATAACTCGGGCAACCGCTCAATAACGAGTCGGTTGTGTGTCCTTGCTGTCGCACTGTACTTGTCAGGTCAAAGGTCGCTTGACCTTTGACTTTCGCGTAACCTCCAGCAGTTACTTTCAACCTCCGAGGGTTGACTCGCCGATGTTCCGTTTGTGTCTTGCTTCGTTTATGGCTTAGTTGTTTCGACACGGCAGAGGCGCTTTAAATCACTTGTTTCCAACACTAAGGACCCATGGCTCTTAATAACATGTTAAGATAATGGACTAGAATGGATTGAACTAAGGCAAGATGTGATACAAGAATGAAACCCTGAAGGGGTTGTACCCCTTAGTGGCTACCCCACTGTAGCCTACAACATACAAACAACAAATATAGTTTGACAGTACGCTACCCCACATGCAGTGCAGTTACATGGTATCTTCTACGGGCTCTTCACTCTTCTCTCCCTCCTCACTCTCCACACTCTCCGTTTTAGCCACCCTTGGCCCCCCACCAGCACCGGAGCCCCTGCCATGGTCGTCCCGCCAGGGCAGGATGCAGAAGGGCCAGCACTCGAGGGGTGTGGAGCGGCGGCAGGGCAGGGCGCGGCACTTGAGGGCGCGCGGGGTGACCCAGGTGAGCCCGCGGTCCAGCACGGGCTTCACCCAGGAGCGGCACGGGTGCTGCGCCAGGTCGATGGCCGTGGCTGTGAAGTGGTTGAGGTGCAGCACGTCCCTCGGCGCCGTTGCCACCGACTCTGGTGGCGCCGTGGTCGTGTGGATCGCCACGGAGCTAATGCACAGTGGTGGACCAGGGGGGGGGAGGAGGGGGGGGAAGGGGGGGGGGGTTGGAGTGGTGGGGAGCCGAAGGGGAGGAGAATAAGTTAAAATGGAAGAAGATTTGGAGAAGGGGGGTGACAAGAAGCACGCAAGATTGAAAGGGCATGAGAGGATGCTTGGATTGAAAGATGCGATGATCCGTGCAGAAACAGGAAGGAGCAGGTAACAGGGTAACCTTTTAGTTGATTCTCAAATCAAAACATGCTTGGACACATGGTGGCGGCGGCGGCGGCGGCGGCGGTGGTGGTACCATGCATGGTGGTTGACATGCACTCACGGCTGACAAGCGTGGCATGGTGAAGACGTGGCAAGCGGCGTTGATATCCAGCACCATGTTGAACGCATCAAGACTTGGGGAAAGGGCACCGATCAACTCGGCGGCACTCACTAGCGCGGCACTCACTAGGGCGGCACTCACTAGGGCGGCACTCACTAGGGCGGTACTCACTAGGGCAGGATGGTGTGCGGGTTGACAGCCAGCTTGTCATGCCAGCCCGCCCACCCCTCCGTGTGCCACATGGGCTGTGCACAGCGCCACGTGAGGCGGTCCAACACGGGCTCGCGGCGCGACTCCGCCTCCACGCCCCAGAAGTTGAAGCGCCGCAGCTGAATCACCTGCCGCGGGAGAACAGGGGCGAGAGGATGGGGGGAGATGAGCGGGGAGATGAGCGGGGGCCAGGGGGAGATGAGCGGGGGCCAGGGGGAGATGAGCGGGGGCCAGGGGGAGATGAGCGGGGGGCCAGGGGGAGATGAGCGGGGGCCAGGGGGAGATGAGCGGGGGCCAGGGGGAGATGAGCGGGGGCCAGGGGGAGATGAGCGGGGGGGCAGGGGGAGATGAGCGGGGGCCAGGGGGAGATGAGCGGGGGGCCAGGGGGAGATGAGCGGGGGCCAGGGGGAGATGAGCGGGGGCCAGGGGGAGATGAGCGGGGGCCAGGGGGAGATGAGCGGGGGCCAGGGGGAGATGAGCGGGGGCCAGGGGGAGATGAGCGGGGGCCAGGGGGAGATGAGCGGGGGCCAGGGGGAGATGAGCGGGGGCCAGGGGGAGATGAGCGGGGGCCAGGGGGAGATGAGCGGGGGCCAGGGGGAGATGAGCGGGGGCCAGGGGGAGATGAGCGGGGGGGCAGGGGGAGATGAGCGGGGGCCAGGGGGAGATGAGCGGGGGGCCAGGGGGAGATGAGCGGGGGCCAGGGGGAGATGAGCGGGGGCCAGGGGGAGATGAGCGGGGGGCCAGGGGGAGATGAGCGGGGGCCAGGGGGAGATGAGCGGGGGCCAGGGGGAGATGAGCGGGGGCCAGGGGGAGATGAGCGGGGGCCAGGGGGAGATGAGCGGGGGCCAGGGGGAGATGAGCGGGGGCCAGGGGGAGATGAGCGGGGGCCAGGGGGAGATGAGCGGGGGGGCAGGGGGAGATGAGCGGGGGCCAGGGGGAGATGAGCGGGGGGCCAGGGGGAGATGAGCGGGGGCCAGGGGGAGATGAGCGGGGGCCAGGGGGAGATGAGCGGGGGGCCAGGGGGAGATAAGCGGGGGCCAGGGGGAGATGAGCGGGGGCCAGGGGGAGATGAGCGGGGGCCAGGGGGAGATGAGCGGGGGCCAGGGGGAGATGAGCGAGGGCCAGGGGGAGATGAGCGGGGGGGCAGGGGGAGATGAGCGGGGGCCAGGGGGAGATGAGCGGGGGCCAGGGGGAGATGAGCGGGGGCCAGGGGGAGATGAGCGGGGGCCAGGGGGAGATGAGCGGGGGCCAGGGGGAGATGAGCGGGGGCCAGGGGGAGATGAGCGGGGGCCAGGGGGATATGGTTGCTGAGAGTCGGATGAGAGGAGTGGGGTGCGTGAAGCACCCCAAGGCAACACCGCAGATGGACGCAGCAATTTGAGTGGAGAGAGAAAGGCAAGCAGGTGGTGGCACGCCATGCAGTTGCGCTCACTCTGAGGGGCTCCTTGCTGCCGCGCGGCCGTGAGCGCGAGTGGTTGAGCTCGAGGCGAGCCAGCAGCGGCTTGAGGAAGCCCCCCGTGCGTGGCTCGTACCACACGAACTCGTCGCTGTCTATGTGCAGCTGCCACCTGTCGCCCCTCCGCCGCCCCTGCATGAGGCAGTGCTCGTACGATATGATCTGATCGTAGATCTCCGGGAACTGCCGTGCCGTGCCCACAGGGCACACAGGGCGGATGGACAGAGGACACAGGCAAAGAGGAGACTAGGAATGAGTTGAGAGTGATACACACCAGGTACGGCACTCACCAGGTACGGCACTCACCAGGTACGGCACTCACCAGGTGCGGCACTCACCAGGTACGGCACTCACCAGGTACGGCACTCACCAGGTACGGCACTCACCAGGTGCGGCACTCACCAGGTACGGCACTCACCAGGTACGGCACTCACCAGGTACGGCACTCACCAGGTACGGCACTCACCAGGTGCGGCAATTACCAGGTACGGCACTCACCAGCTACGGCACACACCAGGTACGGCACTCACCAGGTACGGCACTCACCAGGTACGGCACTCACCAGGTACGGCACTCACCAGGTACGGCACTCACCAGGTACGGCACTCACCAGGTGCGGCACTCACCAGGTACGGCACTCACCAGGTACGGCACTCACCAGGTACGGCGCTCACCAGGTACGGCGCTCACCAGGTACGGCGCTCACCAGGTACGGCGCTCACCAGGTACGGCACGCGGGCCTTGCCAGCGTAGAGCTTGTGGCGGAAGAAGACCTCGCTCCAGGGGGGGAAGGGCACGTGCTGCACCTGCCCGCGCTGCATGTAGGGCGCCAGCAGGCCGGCCATGGCGGTGGCGTGGCGGTCGTACACGTAGATGCGCTGCACGCCCATCAGCAGCGCCGCATCCATCCACTCCAGCAGGCGCGCGTGCGAGAAGGCCACGTCCAGCGAGAAGAGCTGCCGCGTGTGGAACGGCCGCAGGCAGATCGCCACCGCCCCCATCGCCCTGCTCTTGCCGCCCCCACTGGTGCCGCTGCTGCCGCTTGCAGAGCTGCTGCCCCCCTGGTCGTGCGGGGCGGCGTCCTCCCCAGCAGCGTAGTCCACCAGCATGTCCTCCGCGCTGCCACCCTCCTTTCCTCCCGCCGCGGCGCCCTCCCCTCTCCCCGCTCCCTTCATCCTCCCTTTCCCACCGACTCCTCCCATATCCTCTCCCATCAGCCTCGCCAGTTCCGAGCCTCCTCCCGAGCCTGCACTAGCCGCGGCAGCCACCTCCCTCTCCATGGCAGCGAAGGGGAACGGCGGGGCGCGGCTGCCCGGGTCGATGGGGCCGTCGCTGCCGCCACCGTCGTTGCTGTCAGTGTGGTCGGCGTCGCCATCAGCCCGGCAGAGCAGCAGCGGCGGCATGCGCAGGTCGGAGCCGTTGCGGGCCGCCACGAGCTGCACCTGCAGGCGCTGCCCGTACTCCACGTAGTGCCGCCGCGCCTCCCTCCTGCTCACCCTCACTCGCACCGCCACTGCCGCATCCGCTGACGGGTCCACTGAGGGGTCGGTGGGGGGCGAGGAGGGGGAGGCGGAGGGGGAGGCGAGGGGCGGGAGGGGGCAGTGGAGCGCGATGTGCCAGGGGTGGCGGTGGCGCACGACGGCGTCCACCACGAGGGCGGGCGCCACGCTGTGCAGGGCGGGGTCGTGGCCCGGCCACACAAGGCACTTCACCTGCAGCGCCCCCCGCCAGTACACGTCGCTCAGCTCCGCCGCGCCCCACCCCTCCCACTGCGTCTTGCGGATCGACTCCTCGTCCTCCAGGAACGCCAGCAGCCGCACCCACGTCCTCACTGCCGCCGCCCCTCGCTGACCTTGCCGCCCCGCCTGCCCGCCGCCTCCGCGCGCGTCCCCCGCGCCGTCCGCCGTCTCGTGCAGCGCCTCCGCCTCGAACACCGTCAGCTGCGCGAACCGACTGCCGAAGCTCGCCCCGTCGCGCGCCTCCTCGGGGCTCACGAACGTGCCCTGCGCGAATGGCGCGGCGGCGCTGCCCATGCACAGGCGCACCTTGGCGCCGCGCGCGGACAGCGGGCGCACCAGCGGCGGCAGCTTGACCTCGCCGCGGCCGCACACGGGGCAGCCTCGCAACGCCTCATGTGAGTGGCGGCGGGGGAAGGCCCTCCCACTGGCGCCACGGGCGTCGGGCAGGGCGGGCGAGTCGGGCTGAAAGGCGATCCACACGACGAGAAAGAGGGCCGCGGCGACGGTGAGCGCGGCGTAGTGGCAGAGCGCGTGCGCCTGGGCGGACACGGTGCGCGCGGGGAAGCGAAAGGGCAGACGGCGGGCTTTGCTATGCGGCTGCGACGACGGCAGGGAGCGCGAGGGATGCGCGGAGGCCAGCGGCTTTTCTACCGTGGGTTGGTGCGGCACGCGCGGGGCGAGATGGACCTGCGGCGATACCGCGCGCAAAGAGGCGAGAGGAGCGGGAGCGGCGGAAGAGGGGAGATCAAAGGGAGACGCAGCGGCGACAGCAGGCGAGGTGCCGGGCGCCCGCCGACCAGGTTTGCCCGTCGCAGCCGCTGATTGCCATCTGCTGACGTCACTCATCATAAGCAGGTGGTCATGAGGATGGCAGGGTGATCACACCTGCGGAAGTCGGCATCGCGGGGATTGTTATAAGAACGGAATAACAAAGAATAACACCACACAACTAAATACTAGCCAGGAGCAACAGGCACGTCACGCTTGGCCAGCTCAGCACCAGCAAGGTTGAGTAAGCGGCAAAGGCGGCGGCATCTAGGGGGGAATAATGACTGATGCTAAACCAAGCAAAAGCGAAATCGACGCTTAGGACGCTCTGCAGCGCGCCAGCCAGCGAAATCGCCGCCTAGGACGCTCTGCAGCGCGCCAGCCAGCGAAATCGCCGCTTAGGTCGCTCTGCAGCGCGCCAGCCAGCGAAATCGCCGCTTAGGACGCTCTGCAGCGCGCCAGCCAGCGAAATCGCCGCCTAGGACGCTCTGCAGCGCGCCAGCCAGCGAAATCGCCGTTTAGGACGCTCTGCAGCGCGCCAGCCAGCGAAATCGCCGCTTAGGTCGCTCTGCAGCGCGCCAGCCAGCGAAATCGCCGCTTAGGACGCTCTGCAGCGCGCCAGCCAGCGAAATCGCCGCTTAGGTCGCTCTGCAGCGCGCCAGCCAGCGAAATCGCCGCTTAGGTCGCTCTGCAGCGCGCCAGCCAGCGAAATCGCCGCTTAGGACGCTCTGCAGCGCGCCAGCCAGCGAAATCGCCGCCTAGGACGCTCTGCAGCGCGCCAGCCAGCGAAATCGCCGCTTAGGTCGCTCTGCAGCGCGCCAGCCAGCGAAATCGCCGCTTAGGACGCTCTGCAGCGCGCCAGCCAGCGAAATCGCCGCCTAGGACGCTCTGCAGCGCGCCAGCCAGCGAAATCGCCGCTTAGGTCGCTCTGCAGCGCGCCAGCCAGCGAAATCGCCGCTTAGGTCGCTCTGCAGCGCGCCAGCCAGCGAAATCGCCGCTTAGGACGCTCTGCAGCGCGCCAGCCAGCGAAATCGCCGTTTAGGACGAGCCTCAGATCCGGCGCTGCAAATCAGCGCCCCCACATTGAGACCGGCTGCCCAGGTGCGGGATCCACGCCCCGACATCGAGACACGTGACGTCACAGCGGAACCATGGAAGACAGCCCGGACCCCGGGGATGCCGGGGTCCGGGAGGGAGGAGGACGTGACGGCAAGGCGAAATGGGCCACCGGAAGCACGGAGGAAGGAATGACAACGATGACTTCAAAGGCGACCTGCCCAATAGCCGGGCACAAGAGGGGGAGAGAGCCTACGGAGCAGCAGGAGGGACCACTCGTCCGCGGCATGTGCGACAAAGTCACTAGGTGCCTCCACGACAATCTGACCAAGAGGCAACGCCTCGATACCGACCTAGGCGTGGCCACTAGAGAAGTGGTCGAAAGTGGCAATGGAGAGCACAGGCAAGGCAACACCTCCGACGCGGCGATGGCAGCTTGGGAGGCACATCGCCAGCGTCTACAGGAGTCGCATGACAAGCGTCGGCGAGAACTTAACACCCCTTTAGCACGCCCGGCACTCACTAAATGCGACAACTCAGCGACATGTGGTCCCCGATTAGCCCGAAGACAGGAACGGAGGCGCAAATCAGGAGTTCCGCGGGGTCAAGGGGAAGGAGCGCGGCGAGGCCCGCAAGCCCGGGGGCAGCAGGAGCCGCAGGCTGGGGGGGAGCAGGAGCCGCAGGTTGGGGGGGAGCAGGACCCGCAGACTGGGGGGGAGCAGGACCCGCAGACTGGGGGGGAGCGGGACCTGCAGGCTGAGGGGGAGCAGACGTTGGAGTTGGAGATGGAGATGGGGAGGCAATGGGAGCTGCCTATTGGAAGGCAGCAAAAGCTGCAGGATGGGGGGCAGCAGGAGCTGCAGGCTGGGAGGCAGCAGGAGCTGGAGGCTGGGGTTGAATGGGACCCGCAGGTTGGGAAGGAGCAGGAGCCGCAGACAAAGGGGCAGCAGGCTTTGGAGGCGGAGATGGAGATGGGGGGGCAGCAGCAGCTGCCGGCTGGAAGGCAGCAAGAGCTGCAGGCTGGAGGGCAGCAAGAGGGGCCGACCTGGAGGCGGCAGGAGCTGCGGGCTGGGAGGCAGCAAGAGGGGCCGGCTGGGGGGCAGCAGGAGTCGCAGGCTGGGTGGGATCAGGACCGGCAGGTCGAGGGGCAGCAGGCTTCGGAGGCGGTGATGGTGATGGAGATGGGGGGGCAACAGGAGCTGCCGGCTGAAAGGCAGCAAGAGCTGCAGGCTGGAGGGCAGCAGGAGCCGCAGGCAACGAGGCAGCAAGAGCTGCCGGCAGAGGGGAAGGAAGACCCGCAGGCTGGGGGGGAGCAGGAGTCGGAAGTGGACATGGAGATAGAGATAGGAATGGTAACGGAGCAGCAGGTCGAGAGACAGCTTGGGCTGCAAGCTGAGTGGCCGCAGGTGTTGGAGGTGGAGATGGAGGAGGCACAGGAGGAGGGGGGGGGAGAGCGGCAGGGAAGCGTACAGGAGGGGTGTCAAACGGAGAATCAGTCTCAGCCGCAAGAAGGGGAGCAGCAAGGGTGTCGAGAAAGGAACCGGCCCCAAGAGCGTAGAAGCATGCAACTTGAAGAGCCGATCAGTGGGTTGCAAGAGCAACAGGCGCGGGTTCAGCAGGGGGTCGCTAGCCCGGGCGGCGCAGGCCAAGCGAAAAGGTCGCGAGCTCGGGGCCGAAGAGGGAGACGACACGCAGCCAAGTTGCAAGGAGCATCCCAGGGCGAGCAGCAGCCAGGGGGTCAGCAGGGGTCGACAAGGGCGCCTCAGGGGGTGCTGCAGGCCGGGGAGGTGCCGGAGGCGACAGAGGCAACCCAGGGAGGGTGGCAGACCGGTGGTCGGGCGGAGAGGACTAGGGCACCCCGGGGAGTGCAGCAGCCAGGGGGGCAGCCGGGGGTGACAGGGGGACCCCATAGAGCGCCCGGAGCACCCCAGGGAGCGCAGCAGGCAGGAGGGGAGCCGAGGGTGCCCGGGGCACCCCAGGGAGTGCAGCAGGCAGGAGGGGAGCCGAGGGTGCCCGGGGCACCCCAGGGAGTGCAGCAGGCAGGAGGGGAGCCGAGGGTGCCCGGGGCACCCCAGGGAGTGCAGCAGGCAGGAGGGGAGCCGAGGGTGCCCGGGGCACCCCAGGGAGTGCAGCAGGCAGGAGGGGAGCCGAGGGTGCCCGGGGCACCCCAGGGAGTGCAGCAGGCAGGAGGGGAGCCGAGGGTGCCCGGGGCACCCCAGGGAGTGCAGCAGGCAGGAGGGGAGCCGAGGGTGCCCGGGGCACCCCAGGGAGTGCAGCAGGCAGGAGGGGAGCCGAGGGTGCCCGGGGCACCCCAGGGAGTGCAGCAGGCAGGAGGGGAGCCGAGGGTGCCCGGGGCACCCCAGGGAGTGCAGCAGGCAGGAGGGGAGCCGAGGGTGCCCGGGGCACCCCAGGGAGTGCAGCAGGCAGGAGGGGAGCCGAGGGTGCCCGGGGCACCCCAGGGAGTGCAGCAGGCAGGAGGGGAGCCGAGGGTGCCCGGGGCACCCCAGGGAGTGCAGCAGGCAGGAGGGGAGCCGAGGGTGCCCGGGGCACCCCAGGGAGTGCAGCAGGCAGGAGGGGAGCCGAGGGTGCCCGGGGCACCCCAGGGAGTGCAGCAGGCAGGAGGGGAGCCGAGGGTGCCCGGGGCACCCCAGGGAGTGCAGCAGGCAGGAGGGGAGCCGAGGGTGCCCGGGGCACCCCAGGGAGTGCAGCAGGCAGGAGGGGAGTTGAGGGTGCCCGGGGCACCCCAGGGAGTGCAGCAGGCAGGAGGGGAGCCGAGGGTGCCCGGGGCACCCCAGGGAGTGCAGCAGGCAGGAGGGGAGCCGAGGGTGCCCGGGGCACCCCAGGGAGTGCAGCAGGCAGGAGGGGAGCCGAGGGTGCCCGGGGCACCCCAGGGAGTGCAGCAGGCAGGAGGGGAGCCGAGGGTGCCCGGGGCACCCCAGGGAGTGCAGCAGGCAGGAGGGGAGCCGAGGGTGCCCGGGGCACCCCAGGGAGTGCAGCAGGCAGGAGGGGAGCCGAGGGTGCCCGGGGCACCCCAGGGAGTGCAGCAGGCAGGAGGGGAGCCGAGGGCGCCCGGGGCACCCCAGGGAGAGCAGCAGGCAGGGGGGCAGCCGGGGGTGCCCGGGGCACCCCAGGGAGTGCAGCAGGCAGGAGGGGAGCCGAGGGTGCCCGGGGCACCCCAGGGAGTGCAGCAGGCAGGAGGGGAGCCGAGGGTGCCCGGGGCACCCCAGGGAGTGCAGCAGGCAGGAGGGGGGCTGAGGGTGCCCGGGGCACCCCAGGGAGTGCAGCAGGCAGGAGGGGAGCCGAGGGTGCCCGGGGCACCCCAGGGAGTGCAGCAGGCAGGAGGGGAGCCGAGGGTGCCCGGGGCACCCCAGGGAGTGCAGCAGGCAGGAGGGGAGCCGAGGGTGCCCGGGGCACCCCAGGGAGTGCAGCAGGCAGGAGGGGAGCCGAGGGTGCCCGGGGCACCCCAGGGAGTGCAGCAGGCAGGAGGGGAGCCGAGGGTGCCCGGGGCACCCCAGGGAGTGCAGCAGGCAGGAGGGGAGCCGAGGGTGCCCGGGGCACCCCAGGGAGTGCAGCAGGCAGGAGGGGAGCCGAGGGTGCCCGGGGCACCCCAGGGAGTGCAGCAGGCAGGAGGGGAGCCGAGGGTGCCCGGGGCACCCCAGGGAGTGCAGCAGGCAGGAGGGGAGCCGAGGGTGCCCGGGGCACCCCAGGGAGTGCAGCAGGCAGGAGGGGAGCCGAGGGTGCCCGGGGCACCCCAGGGAGTGCAGCAGGCAGGAGGGGAGCCGAGGGTGCCCGGGGCACCCCAGGGAGTGCAGCAGGCAGGAGGGGAGCCGAGGGCGCCCGGGGCACCCCAGGGAGAGCAGCAGGCAGGGGGGCACCCGAGGGTGCCCGGGGCACCCCAGGGAGTGCAGCAGGCAGGAGGGGAGCCGAGGGTGCCCGGGGCACCCCAGGGAGTGCAGCAGGCAGGAGGGGAGCCGAGGGTGCCCGGGGCACCCCAGGGAGTGCAGCAGGCAGGAGGGGGGCTG